GTGTGTCTCTCTCTNTGTGTGTGTGTGTGTGTGTGTGTGTGTGTGTGTGTGTGTGTGTGTGTGTGTGTGTGTGTGTGTGTGTGTGTGTGTGTGTGTGTATATGTATATATTTCTGCATGAACATGCAAGTTTCCTAAACGACCTAAGCTTCACCGCAACACGGTACAGGAATCGACTGTGTGTAATTGTGCCAACGCCAACACCACCGCACATGAAACAAATGGAGTGTGTAAACCACGCACACACAACCGAGATAGTATTAAGCCGCGGAACTATATCGAACATTATTGCTTTCTAATTTGTAACGTATAAGAATGTAATAAAGACAATACTAACACACCCATCCTATCACCCAATAGCCCACGGCGAAATTGGAGTCCGATAACTCACGAGAATCACGACACTCCATGACACTAATGATGCACGATGCAATGCTGAAGTGGATACCTTGCCAAGTGCACACAAAGAACTGAGAGCTTCTCCTCTAAAGCCAAACGATTCGATCACGGCCAAATCGTCGAAATCGCTGATTTTAGAGGTGTGGTGTTTTAGAGCTGCCAAAAAGAGCAAAGTCGATGGGTGTTGAGAATTTTTCAGCCTAACACATCCAAAAGCCGTTTATCATTCAGAATATGCAGATAGAATAGGACTATGCAGACCATCAGGTGTGCAGCTGGAAATCAAAGACATAAGAAAGAATTATTGAGAAGTGAAAAGCCATGGATTAAAAACACAGACGTGTACATCAAAATTGTACAAGTTCCCTGCACACCAAAAGAACTGCCCAAAAAAATAGCATCACATACTCAGTGACTCATAGTTGGCGGGTGCAACCCCTAGACCGTTATCACTGACCTCCATAACTTCCAGTCCATAATTTTTTAGCTTGATTTCTGCAAGTGAAGAAAGTGTCGATCGATACAATTTGTGTGAACGACAAAACTTGTTGAAAACGTTTGGATATTATGCCCATATGATTCGAGAGAGAAAATGGACTACAAACTCGACATTGCATTTAACAGGTCTACGATTCGAGTATGCCGAGGACAATACAGGTGTATTGTCGTTCCCGATCTTCCTGTGTTCCAAAACTGTACCGAATTGTTTGAAAACTGAGAGCTGTTCGTGACCACCACTCTGAAAATACAGCACAGACTACAGGCACTGTCCATATTCTTCCTTCGTGAGCTTTAGAGCTAAGGTCCTATCAATGACAGCTCATCAAAAGCAGGTCGCGATATAGTGTAAATCTTGGTGTTTGTAAGCATGGTTCAGCGTGCAGACAACTATCAATACTACAGATGAAACGAACAAGCAGGCAATAGTAGCTCAGGTCTAGCGTACATGTTAACAATTGGATCTAACGAACATACTAATCATTGGATCTAGCGTACATGCTGATAATTGGATCTAGCGTACATGCTAATAATTGGATCTAGCGTACATGCTAATAAGTGGATCTAGCGTACATGCTAATCATTGGATCTAGCGAAGATGCAATTGGATTTAGCGTACATGCTAATCACTGGATCTAGCATACATGCAAATAATTGGAGCTAGCGTACATGTTGGATCTAGCATTCATGCTCATCATTGGATCTAGCGTACATGCAATTGGATCTAACGTAAATGCTAATCATTGGGTCTAGCGTACATTCTAATAATTGGATCTAGCGTACATGCCAATAATTGGATCTAGCGTACATGCTAATAATTGGATCTAGCGTACATGCTAATCAATGGATCGAGCGTACATGCTAATCATTGGCTCTCGGGACCATATTATTAGTAGAATTTAGATCAAATTCACTTCAATAAGTGTAAAGCACAGAATGAGTATTCTCGACGTAGAAAGCTGAACTTTTGCGAAGGGTGTGTCAAGATGCCACAAACATGAAACCCCATACCTATCAGTGTAGCACCGGCGTCTATAGCATTTTCTATCAGCTCTTTCACCGCGACAGCCAACGACACCACTACCTGACCTGAACATATTCGATGCACAGACTGCTTGTCTATGGCTTTGATTGTATTGGACATTGTTTCCTGTGCAGTGATAGGGGCGTGATTGCGGATGTGTTAAAAGTGTCACTATGATGCGAGAGCGTGGACGGCAACTATTCCGGGCGAAAAGTGAGTCGATTTAACGCTAAAAAATGGCTTCGAAAACGTGCGAGACCTTCCACTGAGTCGCTGACGGATATTTTCGAACAAGTTTGCTCTTAGCTATAAAGACACGCGGGTGACTTTGCTAAAGTCATAGATGAAATACCAATAGTCAAAAGTACGGATGACTATGTTATAGTTTGAGAATACGTGTACAGTATCATACACCCTGATAGACTCATGCACCTGAACATAAGACTATATATGCTTGTATATAGAGATAACCTGACATATACATATAGATACATGTAAACATGTGTTAATTAAAACCTTAGCACTAAGCACGATAGCTGCTATCTCACTATAATCGCGCCAGCTGCCGGAATTGTTGTCCTTCTCCTCATATCATTGTGGACGGCAATACCTCCAACGTTCAACCACGGGATTATTTCATACTAGTGAGCAATGTCCTCGTAGATTCCACTCCACTACGATTATTATCGTTCCCAACCTCTTCGTACACTCACACAATATCAGAAACTAGAAAACCTTTGAACATTAACAAAGCTGAACGGAAGAGTATCAGCCTCCCTAAGCATTGACATACGAATTGACGCCAATGGCCGCTAGCACCTCATTCCTATTGAATTCCAGTGTCACTTTCACTCAGACGGCAGAGGTTATAGAAGACGATTTCACTCAATGTAATCACCCAGACGGCAGAGGTTAGGCGACGATTTCACTCAGTGTAATCCTCAAATACTAATATCGTTACTAAATATATAAACATGGTTTATGTACCGAGGTAATTTATATTCCGAGTTTTTTACTCTCGTAGGCGTAGGGCGTAAAGCCGTAAACTGTAGAGCGGTATATACTATTTAGTCGTTAGCGAGACTAAAGAACAATACACATGAAGTTTAAAATTATTTGGTATTACAACAACAAATAGATTTAATATCTACAAATTACAACCCTATGGATGTCGTATGAATCTGTTCTAAATAAATATTTAGGAGACTACAACTTACAAGCCTACAGCCTACAGCCTACGATGCTAGCCTATATTAACATGATATGTATTTGACTCCTAAAAAAGACAAAAGCCCGCGTAAAAAAAAAGCCCGCCAGAAAAATGGAATTGGTGGAAAGTATTTTTTTATATAAATATTACACCCGGTCAACTTTCAGCCTAAAGTTTGTTTGGATTTGGCTTGTGGTCAAAAACAACCACAAAACAAATATCGATGCGTATCAGCGCATTTGTATGTCCATTTTATATATATATATATATTTGGACGTGCTGGCTTAGCCTCCTAAAAAGAACAGGAGACTATGGTTCTGGCCCTGGACCATATTTCCATAAATATTCTAATATTACAGTTTTTTTTTAACCGTTGTAGGAGTTTCGGGACTCCTAATGAATTTTCGAGACTCTTCGGTACCCTGAATGTCGGCGGGTCCCGAATGATGAGTCATGATTCCGGAAATTTATATTGGGTTTTTATTTCAGGGCCCAAACCAGGGTTAATCGTATATAACCAGGCCCTGATGATTTTTGAGTGTCATTCTACTAGGGTCATACTTGAAATTGTCTATGTATATTCACGAACAGAGCAAAGTGTCTACGAATATACAGAGACGATGACACAATGAGAAAGTTCGAGAACATCGTAGCTGAGGGTTTTCTAGGCCCGTGCCTTTCCCTCTCACTACGAGTTTTATAGCTATAGTTAATAGCCTAGTATGTTAGTAGTACAAGTTCGTTCGGGAATAGATAGAGATAGGTCCCGGCGGACTATAAAAGCAGTCCACGTCTAGCGTTAGAGTTCAGACATTCACTAAGAACATAAGGAATACCAGGACGAAGAGGACTAAAGACTGCTTATATCGTAAACCCTACTACTACCGAATTTGGGTATTTATAATTTTTGGCACCAAAACTGTGATATTCATTTTTTGGGCCGATTTTTGGATTTGGAGAATAAGGACCGAACTTTGGGAAATTCGAGGGACATTATAATCTAAGCTGCTGAGGGGTCTCTTCAAGGATAGTCTCGGGATCGGGTACCACAGAGGTGGGTACTCTACTTAGTAGGTCAGCAAGCGAATATATGGAACATTCGATAGGGATAATATTATTTATTTCAAAAATGGCAAGTATGTATGATACAATGTATGAACATATGGTATGGCTTTCATAGTCGCTGTAGTGGTTCAGGAAAGATTGATGGGAAGAAGTGGTCAGTAAATTCCCGTTTGAATCAATAGTAACGGTGTTTTGTCAACACCGGCCCGAAAAGACTCAGGACATATCTTCCATTGTCGACTCACTTGTATATCAATAGCGTGTAAACAAATAAAGATACCCAAGCTTCAAACGGGAATTTACTGACCACTTCTTCCCATCAATCTTTCCCGAACCACTACAGCGACTCTGAGAGTCATACCATATGTTCATACATTGAATCATACATACTTGCCATTTTTGAAAGTAATAATATTATCCCTAACAAGGGATTGACGTTGATCGTAGGACGGCGCTCTCTCTCAGCGAAAAAGAAGTGTGATAACGGCTGTAACTTTGGTAGGACCAGATACCCCGTTATCAGTACGACTTTGTCGTACAGTACTAGGCTTGAAAGGACTTGGGCTCAGAAGGCGTGCGGACATGCTAACGTGGGATTTGTCGGTGGATTGAACGGCGTTTGGAGCGGGTTATTAAGTAGAAACTCACTTTGTGGGAAAAGTATGCGCCTTGTTTTTTTAAAGCCCAAGGTTGCTTGCGGCTCCGCTTTTTAACCTTTGTAAAAATACGGCCTCCGGTCAGTCTAAAATATCAAGATCAATTGAGATAAAACATTGGTTTTTATTTGTATTTTAAATAATTTAATACAAGCTCTTTTTCCAATATTTCCAAAGTGTTCTAAATTCACTTTGATGGCTCCAATAGCCTGAGTATTTGGTATGACTCATCTACTTGGACCTATTTGAGACATTAATAGATGTAGGATATTATAAACTAAATTTTATAATCTCCGAACTACTACTTATAGATTTTGGTCCTCCCGCCAATCTCCAAAATGAAATAGGTCTTTTTCTTTTTTTAACTTTTCTTCAGATGGAACTTTATTTATATCAGCTAATGTATTAACGTGACTTACGTTATTATGTCTATCTACAAATTAGGCATGTGGTCATGAACACTTAGTACTTCTAGTGAAAATTATTCAATAAAGAACTGCTAGAGGTACGCCCTGTGTGATCGAGGACATTTAAGCTCTTAACAAGAGGCAGTCCCGATC